TTTTTCATTTGAGTTGGTGTCCTCTTGAAATTGTCCTCAATTATCCTCTCCATGCCTCCATATGATTCCATGCTTCTTCTCATGTCCTTCGTCCTAAATCCAGGAGTGTGTTAGCCTCCACATCGGTGTTTCCTATAAGCATAATGGGAGGTCATTACATGTGTTTTTTTGCGTGTGGGGAGGTCATTACATGTCGTGCAAACTTGTCGACCAGTCGAGGCTAGCTTGCAGCGCTCCCTCATCAACTTCTTCCCCTTGTTACTCGTCACATCGTAGATCCATGCATTGGGCGCAGATAGATTAGTTTACCCACTGAATCTTCATACAAAATGTCCAATATGATGATGATTCATCATATGTGTTTATTGATATCTTGTTATTGCGAACTTTACCAAGAAAAAGTAACTATTAAGGAATTGTTTGTTTCCTAGCTACACATTGATGCATTTCGTCAACAGCCACACTCGTGTCGCCTCCAGGGGCGGCTCGGGTGAACCCTAGCGCCTCCGCCCCGACCCTCCCTGCCTGCTTCCCCGCCGCCGTCGGAGGAGACCGCTCTCTCCGCGAGGGGGTCTTTGGCCGAGACGCGACAGCGACCCTAGGCTCGGCGTGGAGGCGGAGTTGGCACGATTGGGCACCGGCCCGATGGGATTTTGGCGGTGGCTGCGCCACCACAGCTGCGGGGGCAGCGTTGGGCCGGCCATGGCGGCTGGCGGCGCCGGATCTGGAGTTTCCCACCCCAGATCGGTTCTCCTCCGTCATCACGCGGACACCTGAGGTGGCGGCCCTGGGCTTTGTGGTGGTGGTCATCTCCTTCGTCGGAGGTGGTCGGCCTGAAGGCTGGGTGGTCGGATCTCGAGATCCGTCATCGAGTCCCCGTCGCGAGTCGGGGAGACATAGTTGTCGGTGAAGACCGAGCCGACGGCGTGCGATGACGGTGTTCTGCGTTGTTAATTACCTTGATGAAGGCATCACCGTGTAATTACTGTCGACCCACTCGTGCTGCTCTGGGAAAACCCTAGGATTTGGTCTTCTGGATCGGACAATGGTGGCACTGTGGTGTCATTTCTCTCTTAGGAGCATCGTTTATGGAGTAGCGTTGGACGAAAGAGGCAGGAGGTGGAGCAGCTTCGTCTTGCACGGACCTTCGGTAGAGATGTCAAGTCATGCTTGGTGCACAGGTGCTACCCTGTGTCATGCATGTTCGGCAGGCGCACCCGTTTTAGGTATGGGAAAGTGAGAGCACTCCACAGTATCGAGTTTGTAGGTATGAGTGGTGGCTACGGGTGGCTTGATGTATGTTCTTATCAGACCTTTGTTGAACAATTAATAAAGATAGTTGTACGCATCGATTAATGTAGAAGCCGGGGTTTTAACCTTCTTTTTCAGAAACAAAAAAAGATTGACACGTTTCGTGTTAGGCTAGTTCTACTAAGTTAGGTGGGTGCTTATAATTTTTGTGTCAAGTAAATATCATACGTTTAGAAAAGTGTGATTGAATTCTCTTAGACAAGCCAAAATATGCTATAGATTTGAACACATAAGACTATACAAGTTTTGGTAAAATAATTATAGAACGAACTATGTCAAATTAAGTTAGCTTCCAGCCAAGCTCTTGCCCTGCGATCGATATATTTCAAGCTCGTCGATGGACAAACGATGCGACGACCCTCCCGTGCGACTGCGGCCGTACGTAAGATGGATAGAGTTAACCGCTTGGGATTCACTGACTTGGCGTGGCTAAGTCACAATGCTACAATGGCACTGACTTACCGCTCTGCAAGTCACCGGACTTGAGATTAACGACACAGATTCGATGCTACAAGATTAATGGAATAAATGCCACAGTGTTGCACAATACTTGTATACAGTAAAATGATCATCACCACCCGTTTTTTGATCCGGCGGTTCAAAATGACCAAGTCAGAGAACTGTAGCTGTGGCATACATAGAACATGACTAGCTTGCACGACTGCGAGTGATCCCGTGCAGCTAGTACATACTCCCTCCATTCCTAAATATATCTCTTTTTAGAGATCCAATACTGACAACATGCGAAGCAAAATAAATAAATATACACTCTAAAATGCATCTATAAATTCATATGTAATTTGTATTGAAATCTCTACAAAGACTTATATTTAGGAACAGAGGGAGTACATGATATGATACATCTCCATCCACTGGTATTAACTACCCGTAGTTATCGCTCAGACAATCAACGTTAATTGTAGTTCTAGCTAGGGGGCGCAAAGCTATCATGTCGCCGCTAATTACAGTTCTAGGGGGCACGCAGCTATCATATCGCACGCACTGAATTGAAGTGACCGGCGCCCCGCAGCTTAGAGCAACCTTGCTTGGTAGGAGCTTTCAGTCCAGACTGTTTTCATGTTTCTATCTCTATCCCTCTCTCTTGAACTTGTACTCGGCAATTAATAATGCAGGTGCAGCTCCTTTTGGAAAATAATAATAATGCAGGTGACGGCTGTGTTGATTCAGCGTCGTTTCTTGACGTACTCACTCTCTGTTTCCGGTGCGTTTCTTGACGTATTCGCAAGCGTGCATCGACCTCATGTGTTTAAACTTGATCCTCTGCAAATGATCGACGGGTTACCTTGAATTGATCGGATCATGTTCTCTCTACAAAAAGAAATCATCATCCTATGCTGCTGATGGCTTTGGAAGCACCGGAACCGGGTGGTTTTCGTGGCGACCCCCCCTCTCACCTGTCTCAAATGCCTCTGCCGCGAGGACGTGGTTTTTTGGCGACATCATCGACCGTCTGTTGGTCAAAGTTTTCAAAATTTTCCTTGATAAAAAACTAATATGCATATATAGTAAATAAAAAATAATCATTCATGTAGTTAGAGTAACTCTAGCAGAGTTGCCATATTAACAATCTTCGTATCCATATGAAACACACTCTATATAGATTATGGAGGCCGTCGAGGCCAAGCGCAAAGTCAGAATCGCCATATTGACAGCCTCTATAATCACGGGACCCACTCGGCGGTGAGATATCAATACGTTTCTTTTCTCTATTTAATAAACGGGAGGTATATGACTTACATCAAGTGACCTGCGTATTTTTTTTCCATTCCTTGAGACAGCCGTCAGTCTTATTTTAAGTTCGATCACATATATAGTGACATGTGTCCAGGGGCCGGACCAAGTATCATTCTGAACCCTAACTTAGCAAATTCTGGCGTACTACCATTGTTTTACAATGAAGAAAGCTCAAACCGTACGCCAAGTGTACAATATATACCATAATTTATACTGCTGGCAATATGGCATGCGCTCAAAACCTTTTGCTTGCATATACATACAAAATTAATTAATTATAAGGTGGAGGGAGAAAACTTGCATTGGTCTGCATGGCATGGCAAAGCTTGAAGTGTGTCCATCCTCGACGTTCACGTCACTCGCATATAGTTGGCCTACTTGCATGCAACGCACTGGACTTAAACTGGATCAAGCCATGGTCTTATCCTCATCAACCCTGCCGGCGAGGCCTCCTAATCATCGTCGCAACCAGATCGAACCAGTCAGGAACGATAAACCGAAGAAGAAAACCGCAGGGATTACGGGAGGGGCCCGCTGGTCAGACTCATCACTCGATCACTTCTCCCTGCTTTAAAAAGGCCAAAGCAAACCTCCCTCCCAGCTGTTGGTGTTGGGCGCCATTTTCTTTTCCAGGAGCTTCTCTTCCCAGGCGACACACGCCTGCTCCTCCACCGTCTTCATTCCTCGTCGTCGTCGAGGGCCGGCAGCGTCGACTGGCAGTGACCACAGCAGGTTAGCCAAGTAACCACCTCAGCCTCTTTTTTCTGGTGGTTCAGCTCAGACCAGCATACTGACGACTTCCAACTGAAATGCTCCTAACACTTACAGTACTTCTCAAAAGAAGCACGAATTCTTTTCCAATTTTTGGATCTCGTATGCAGTTGACTTGTACATCATTAGCATGTATGAATATGTACGGTTATAAGACTAGTTAAAAGTCGCGGCGCAACTTGCTAGCTTTCCTCTGCATTTGGACTATTGGGAAGGTGAGAACTGACAGGTTTTCATGAATGGACGCTGAGAAGAGGAAAAAGGGCGAGAAATTTAGTTGTGAGACGCGGCTGTGATCCATGCTCGTGATCCTTGCCTGCGGCCACTTTGCTTAGCTGTTGGACGTGGATGTGAGGCTCGTGAGCGACATAAATTGGGGTCTCCTTCCCTCTGTTTGTTAGTTGGCAACTTGGCGTCCAATTTGACCAAAAATCACCGCACCTTTAGTTATTTAGCACCCATGCTTCACATTCTCCTCTTCTTTCCTACCTCTCCCTCATGCAAGTTGCACCACCATTGTTCCTGCTGCAGCTTCAGCTCATACCAGGGAGCTCTGAGGTGGCACCTCTGCTCTGTTCTCTGTCCAGCAAAAACTTTCATCTCTCAATCAGTTCACGATCTCACTTCTGCAAATGTTTGCAGGAGACAGGTTTTGACAGATGGGGTGCTTCAGCTCCAAGCCGGATGACGCCAGCGTGCTGATCAGGAGGCGGCCCGCCAGCATCGGCGAGGTGGCCGTCTTCGTTCCGGGGCTGCGCGTCCCCGAGCCCCTGGAGCTGCCCCCGCCGCTCGCCGACAGCCTCCCCAGGCGGCTCACCGAGCGGCTGGCCGCGTCAAGGGACCGCATCGCCAACATGGCCGCCCGCGAGGCGCTCGCCGTCACCAAGCCCCGCAGGCGTGCCGCCACCCAGCATGGTTAGTCATCGTCCATGCTTAAAGTGTTACGCACTTCTTGATAGTGCTAGTGTTTGTCTGAATTTGGTTACTGACAGTCTGAATCTATAGCATGTAACATTCTGAAATTGGGAACTGGCAGTCTGAACCTTGCATTTGACGGTCTGAATCTTGTGCTTGCAGGGGCGTCAACGTCGGCTGATCTTGTGCAGGCCTTGGAAGAGTACCTGCCAGTTATTCTGGGGATGGCAAAAGATGGTAGTTCATCATTTTAACCTGTACACCTTGTGCTTGATCCATCTCTCTCTGAAGATTCAGACTTATTTTGCGTTCCCATCATTGTTACTCCACTCTTGGCAGGGAGCGAGCTCGAGGACAAGATACAGTTTGCATGGATGAACCAAGAAGATGATGCAGAGGTCTGCACTGCACAGATATAGCCAATCTTTGTCTTCTGCAAGGATGAAACCTGAAGATTATTAACCTGTCTCCATGTTTGCAGGAGACAGCACTGCCCAGCGCCTGGTACGAGGTGCTGTCGGTTCTGCACATGATGGCCATGCTCCGTTTATCACAAGCAAACTCCCTGCTACTGCCAAAGACGTCTCTTGAAGGATACCATGCCAAAGTATCTGAAGGTTAATTCCCACTGCGACTGAATCAAACAAGTACTAGTATATGTTTCAATCTTTCTGAATGTCTGTGCCCTTGTACTTTCCACTTCCCAGAGAACAAACGGGCTTCTGTCGAGATATTCCTCAAGGCGGCCGGGCACCTGGAGTGCGCCATGCAGAATGTTCTTCCCAGGATGTCGCCCGAAAAGAGGTGGTGATCTTGCCGCTTGCCCTAGCCAGCCCGGCAGGATGAGCAATGCTCCAAGCTTCCATTTTTCTTCAGTTATTGTTCAGTAAGGACTGAGTACTGACTGCCATTTCGTGTAGGAAAGGTCTTCCCGTGGACCTGTCTGAAGGGGTCCTGAAAGCTACCTGCATGCAAGCACTCGGTCAGGTAACAACAACGTTTTTCTTTTTCATATTATTATCTGATAGTAACTAGAGAGAGAGTCAGAGAGAGATCACATGATTCATCATGCCTGGTGCAAGTAAGATAGCATGCAGTTGAGATGTCGGCTTCTCGGTTAGTTCATCGACCATGGTATCTATGTGTGTGCCAGGCAATTGATGTTCAACTTGGGTTGGCAATTGACAGTCCAAAGGCCACCCTGGCTGTCAAAAGGAGGCTGGCATGTGAGATGGTCAAGTGCTGGCAGCAGGTAGGCATCATCATTGATTCATTTCTACTGATTTCTGGTTATTTTGCATCTTCTATTCGGGTAATGATATTTGTATATATGCCAGAGTTCTGCTTCTGTTTGAAAATGCCAGCTATATGTACTGTTCATCTTCGCATGAAGCATAATATAATTTCATAAACAAATAAAACATAGAAAAATATATAATCCCTCCTAGTTCTAAAATATGTACAATCATGATGGTTTCATCCCCAGGCACATGAAAGCATCGCGGACATACCTCTGCTCGACGGCTGGGGCGAAAAGCACAGGCTCTTTGTCAAGTGGAAGCACATGGAAGCAAAAGTACATATGCAGGCTTTTGCTCATATCTCTGAACTCTGAAATGATAAAATGACTGAATTTTGGTCACTAAGCAAAAAAGTAATTATATCATGCAGGCTGCGGCGTATTACTACCACGGGCTTATCCTCGACGAAGGCAACACCGAGAAGTCCCACCGGGCGGCCGTGGCGGCGCTGCAGTCCGCGGAGGAGTTCCTGAGGGAGAGCAGGGCCGTCTGCGAGGCCTTCCACACCGCATCCCCCTTTTCAAGGCAATCTACACATATTACCAAAAACAAAAATTTGCCATTAATTTACCTAGCAAGGTGAGATCGATGCTAGCTATCTGTATGTGTTTTTCATGTTGTTCTGAATTTTACTGCAGGAGCCCGACCCTATGGGGCTCGATGAAGTACCTCCACGACAAGATCCACAAGGACTCCAACTGCAAAGTCCGCATCAACAAGGACCTCTACAGCAATGTTGACAGGACACATGACATGGTGCCGGCTCTGCCGGATTTCGCGGTGGCCCTTCAGCCGGAGGAGTACCGGCTTCCTCGCACAGACGCTGCTTCTGCAAATGACTAGCTGCTAGCTGAAGCATGTCTGTATGTTGGTCCTTGATTCACTGGATCCTAATTAAGCAGCTTTATGTGTACCTTCCCGTCGATGGATGGACGATTAATTTGTGACTGAATCAGAAGATGAACTGAACCGCACACTCTGGAAATGCCAGTCACAGAAAGGAATAACATTCTTGAGCTAGTTTCATCAACCGAAATAGAATAATTGCCATGTGTTCTTCTGCAAGGATGTACCTGTCCACCTCCACATCTCTAACTAGTATCACAAACACCAGATCACTTGTAGAAAGGGCTACAAGGCACAACATTGCCGAAGATGGAGGACACAAGACCATCAAACGGGGAGTAGGAAAATGCCGCTGTAAATGTCACACCAACAATATGTATTCTCCACTGAAGCAGCATAGAAAAACCAGTAGTGAGGCGTCCAGTGTACCGTGACAAATAAGTTTCATGACTCCAGGATCCCACCGTGTCGCAGTTGCATCTTCTTTCCAGGAAATGCTGTAAGCCCCAACATTCTTTGCATCAGTGTTGACCGAAACCATACATCCAGATACCATTTTCTTGTAGAAACCGTGGTCCTTGAGCTGCACCATTGAACCACTTCGAAAAACGCCATGCGAGCCTGAATCTTGGCAGAGTTATGAAATCCGGCGAGCGACCGTTCTTTTTTTGGTACATGCACAAAATTCTGAACATAAAAGTGGCTGCAGATTCTCTGGGAACGTCTGTCAGTGCTTGCTGAAGTACCGACTTGCTGCCGTCCCAAACAACTGAATCCATTAGCAGGTTGTGCTAATAAACCATGGCGTGTCCAGCAAATGGTTCTCCTCCTCTGTTTGTATGGTTCACCAGCAGATCAAAGGTGTCAACCTAACAACGTATCCAATCACTAGTATTTGCACACTGCGCCTGCGCCGACTGGATTATCAATTCTGCTATAAGAAACAGCTGGAACTCCGATGCCATTATTGTACTAGCAGGCTAGCAGGCTAGTAGGCAGTAGCATCCACGCATAGCTCTAGAAACAGGGAGAAACCTCCAACCGCGCTGGTGGCGGTGAGCACCTCGGAGATGTCCGCCTTGTCGGCAGGCACGCCCGGCGTCCCATCGAGCATGACAGTGGCCGAGTATTCGGATTCGCTCGGCGTCGCTTCCCAGGCGAACCCGGGCAGCCGCACGGCGGCGTCGGCGTGGCGGCATTTCGTCGAGCACCTGTCGGGTGTGTCGGCGCGGGAAGCTGGAGCACGTTCACAGAGCCTCCGGGTATGAGGAGATGGCCGGAGCAGCCACCCGCGGAAGCAGGACGTGGCTCCAGCATCAGCAAGAGTTGCAGAGCGCTGGCAACCACTCCTCCGGCGTCGAAACCCAGGCCAGCAGCTACGGCACGGCTGGTGCCCTGGCGTGCCACGGTCGCCTGCACCCCATGTGCCTCGCTGCCAAGGAACCTTGGCCTGCTGTGTCATGGCCGCGCCTCCCTCCGGCGGCGGCGAGGCCGTCGCATATGTTTCGTCGGAGGCGTAGGAGCTGGGCCGGGCTGGCGCTGAGAGGACCTGGGCCGGGCTTGCTTCGGGCCCACTCCACAACTGGATATCCACATCGACACGTGCACTCCCGACCGACGGAGACCGTCCCACTCCCACCCACCCCCTTTTCGTCGGGCCGCCGGCATAGAGTCCTCCGCCGCGCCGGATTCTAGCCCGCGGCGAGTGCTGGTTTGAAGTCACCCGCGAAACGTTGGCACGAGCGACCGCCTGAGATGCATGGGACAAGGGGGGTGGAGGTGAAGCCCCGGCACGTCCCCAGCCACGTCCAGCCGCGGCCATTAGGGGTAAGAGCATCTACAACCGCAACTTGCAAGTGTGACCTCCTATGCGACCACCAACACGTTCGGGCGCCTCAGTGAAGAGCGACCGACCATCGCTCGTTTCTTCGTGTTCGCAAGTGTCTCCCTCAAATTTGGCCCCTCGGATCTATACTACCTATGAAACGTGATCAACATTTTACGTAGATAAAACTTGAACATAGCACTAGCAAACATAGAAACTTGAATAACAAATTTCCTACAATGATCGTCTAAAATTTCATACAATCGGACACAAAAATGTTTATTGTCACATAGATATTGATAATCCTAAGCGATAATAAACTAGTTAAATGGATTGCATGTGGAAGAGAAGGGCGTCAGACTTCACCGCTTCCTCATTGGCCATCACCATCACGCAATTCCGGTGCCCAGGCCAGCCGTCTGCACCCACATACCTCCCCTAGCAGCACACCACCTCCCGACAGCCACATTCTTCGGCATTTGGTAGACCGTTTTCCCCGCCACCGCACCCAAACGTCGACGCCACCAAGCCACCACCCCCTGCGACGAGTACTCAAGCTCAACAACCTCGCTCTCCAGACACCGCCATGCTTGCCGATCGCCGACAGGCCTGCTACCTGGTCTTGAAGAGGCATGAGGCTCTTCACCAGCTGGCTTCTTCCACGACGCCCGCAAGCTGTTCTACGGTTAATTTGCTCGCAAGGTACAAATGGACTCCGGCAACGAGTACTTTTTCCACAATTTCATTTGTGATTCAGATGATTCTTCATCCGATTATGAGGAGATTATGACTGTTGCTTTGGTCGTCCATGACCACCTTAGTAGGTAGCGACCGATCTTCAGGGGTCGATCCTGGGCACAGTCCGTCGTTGGATCGCAAACGAGAGAGGGGCCATTGCCTACTCTAGCAGGACTACTTCGAGTCTCCCAACCCGCTCTTCATTGAGAGGGTGATGGCTAGACATGTATTCAACCATATCTGGGAGGGGGTGATGGCGTACGGTAAGTATTTCGAGTGCAAGGAGGATGCTTGCATACGGAGTTCCCGGTGATCTCATTGATGAGTATGTCTGAATGAGCGAGTCCACGTGCCTAGACTCCATGTATAGGTTCTGCAAGGCTGTGATAGCAGTGCTTGGCCCGGAGTACTTGAGAGAGCCAACTGCCGCAGATACAACCTGATTGTTGGCAATCAATGCCAGCAGGGGCTTTTTTGGGGATGCTTGGTAGTATAGATTATATGCACTAGGAGTGGAAGAACCACCCTTCTACTTGGCAGGGACAGTATATATAGGGGCCATGTCAAAGCTTGCACTATCATACTTGAGGCCGTGGTTTCACAAGATCTCTGGATTTGGCACTCTTTCTTCGGCATGGCTGGATCTCACAACGATATCAACGTGCTTTAGTGCTCTCCGGTGTTTGCAAGGCTTGCAGAAGGCAACTGCCCAGAGGTCAATGTTGAGATCAATGGCCAGCACTACAACAAAGAGATTTGCCCAAGAGTAAGAGAGTGCTAGGAAGGATGTGGAGCGTGACTTTGGTGTTCTTCAATATCGATGCTGCATCATACGGTATCCCGTTAGAACTTGGAGCACCAGGAAGTTCGTGGGAGGTGATGACTGCTTGTGTGATTATGCACAATATGACCATAGAGGATAAGCGCCCGTAACGTAACTACGACCAAGGGTTTCAGTTTCAGGGTGAAAATGTTGTGCCTCAGCATGAAGGAGCGGCAATGTTTGCACAGTTTCACCGAATTTCATCATCAAATGCATGATTCTGACAGCAAAAGCAAAAGCACCACACGATCGCGCACGTACCATCTGCTGGAGTGAGAGTGAGAGCGAGATCACTGACTGATGAGTCTGACACGCGCGCACGTTGCGGTGAGATGCCGGACAAAGTACATGTGATGTGGGCGTGCATGAGCGAAGTACTGGCTACAGTAGCTAGCTAGCCAGCCTGCCTAGCAAGCATACATGGGAGGGACGGACGGGACCCTGCTCGGCCATTCCATTTGTAGCCTTCCTCATGTTTCCATCTACCGACTGCTACCCATCACCCGATCACCCTCTCCTGCCTCGCATCTGCAGTGCCTACCTTCTCTTCTTCTTCTTCCTCCTCCATTATTAAAGCCCTCCTCGCCCTCTCCGCCTCTCCGATCACCTACTCGTCCGAGCCTCTCCAAGATGACGGTATGCCGTCAGCGCCTCCCTCCCTTGCTTCCTCGATCCCCCAGGATCTTTCTTTCTTCCTTCCTTCCTTTCTTTCTTTCTTTCTTTACTGGTTCAATGCTGGCTATAGCGATTCTAACTCCACGACCCTCTCCTCTTGTTCGCAATTCTCCATGTCATTTTGTCCGTGACGAGCGCTAATTTGTCGGTGACTTGTGTTTTTCATTGATGAAACATTTTCATCAACGTCAAGTTTTCTTCAGTTAATTCTCTTAATGCAAATAGCAATTCCGTTCATCAATCCCTCTTGTGCTCTTGGTTTTAACAGCTCCTTGGTTGGATGCACCGGAAGCTGCGAAGTAATAACGACGTGTTCAAAGAGTTCAACACCGCCGGAGGTACGCTCGCTGTACTATCGATCGATGCACTCGTTTACTCGCCGAAAGGGCTGCTTTTTGTATAATGATCTTTTGGTCATGCTCCCGGTCTAATAGATGGCAGTAGTATGACCGTTTGATCCACGTAAATCGTATCCACATGATTTTTAAGATACACCCAAGTTTTCCTTAGATATTGGAAGGACACCACTTTTGGCCTCTGCACTGCACCAAGGGTGCATATAATCAATTAATACATGTTAAAATATATTCCCCACCTTTCTTTATTAGTTTGAACTTTTGTATGAATTGGTTAGCGTACGAATTCAATGCTATGAGCCAAGTATATATACTGGTGGTACGACAGTCTGATCCATCATACTAAATAGTTTCTACGTGGTTTTGAAGATACATCCAAGTTTTTCTTAGATAGTGGAAGGACGATACTTTGAGGCTCTGCACTAGCCCAAGGGTGCACATAAACAATTACCACGGACCAAATATATACGGGTAGATATGAGACACAAGCGTCAACGACATTTTTAGCGGCTTCAAAAATTGAATTGGGATAGACATGGATAACTTGGAGAACCGAGCAATAGCCCAATGGTAAGGTTGG